AAAAAAAAAACCCAAAACCGATACGGCTCCTACCTCTTTTCCCAGGCAGCTGCTGCTGAGTATTCCTTAACCTACTTTTTCTCCTCTCCACCCTTTATTCTAACCTACTTTGGCGCTGCAGCAGCCGCAGCCTCCCGGACCCGCGGGGCAGCGCACCCCACTCCAGGCGGAGCTCCCCCAATTCCCTGCTTTAGGGATAAGGCCGGGACAGAAACACCGCCCACCCCTTTTAGCGCAAAGCCGGGGGTTGAGCATCCCAAAAAAAACACCTGATCCCCCCTCCTCGCACAACCCAAAGCCGCAGAATCCCCAAGCCCGACGGCTCCGCGGGGGAAAACCCTTTAAGGGGGGATAACCCGAGCCCCCCGGGCGGAGGGGGTGTCCCTGTGCCGGGGGTGTCCCTTACCTGTCCCCCCGGGGCCGCCCCGCCGCTCGCGCCTCCTCCTTATGAATGAACCCGCGGGCGCGCGGCTCCGCAAGCCCCGCCCATTTCCGTGACGTCACGCAATGAGACCACGCCCCGCAGTGTTTGGCCACGCCCCCCGGGCCCCGCGGCAGCGCCACCTCCCGGCCGCGGGGGGAATTGCGGGCGGGATTCGGGATGGGTTTTATCCCACCCCCGGGGGGATGTTTGGGGGGAAAACGGGAACAACCAGATCAGGGTGGGTTTTACCTGCCCAGCAGGAATTTAATAAAAAAAAGTGGTTTTTTTCTTCTTCCCCATGTGGGCTCGCAGGGGACACCCACGAGTGCTGCGCCCCCTTTCCTCACCCGTCCGACAGCGTACCCTGCCTTGTCCTTGTCCTCTTCCCCAGGGGACAGTTCTGTGGGGACAGCCGGTTGCCGACAGGCCTGGTGTTCCTTCTGTTCCCCTCGGTTTTCCCCAGGGCGACCTGGTGTCCCCGACTCCGGCTGTTTGTCCAGCCAGGGAATGCCGCGTCCCAGAGCTCTGCGGCACGAGGGGAGCACATCCTGACATCCCCCGCGGGGTTATCCAGGGCAGAACAACTGCACCCCGGCGGTGGAAACGGCTTCTTCCTCCCACCGGAGTCTTCATCACCAGTGGCACCAGCAGGTGACATTCCCAGCGACACCAGTGGGGGTGGGAGCCGTGCCCATCCTCACCCTGTCCCTGCCACCCCATCCCGAGGTGAAGGATGAGACCACGCTGGGATCATTCTGGCACGGGTGACCTTTAATAACAAAGAGCCCCCAAGTGACCGAAATTCCCCCCCCTCCCCTTTCCCAAAATATCCTCATCATCCCAATTATAGCACACACCCACTCACCCCGCTGACGGACAGACGGATGGCTCCATGTGGGATGGCAGCATTCCTGTCACTCACCCAGCTGTGTGGGATTGGGGACACCCTGATTCATCCCTGCCACCACGGTTGTCACGTCTCCCATGGGGACAAACAGGGTGTCCCAATCTGGGAGCACTGATCTCGCCTGGATCCTGGGGTGAAAGCAGGAAAATGCGAAAAAAGGGCAAATGGGGGAGGGTTGGTCCAGCACAGTCTCATTTTTAGGGTCCCCCACACTGTCACCCCACTTTAAAGGGTGGGGAGACAGCCCTGGTGTCTGGCAGGGAATGCGAAGATGATTGTTCTCCTCCAGAGATGCTTCAAACGGCAGTGGTGCCTTCATCCCACTTCCCAGGCTGCGAAATCCCACTGGGAATCACAGAGAAGGAGGGGGGGGACCCAAATTTCCTTCCCTCCTCCCCTCCATCAGCTTCCACCCCTTCCACCAGCGGGGTCAGGCTCTCCCTCGGGGCGATGAACCGGGAAGTTTTAACCCCCTCAGCTCCGGAGTGCAGGGACTGGCAGTGCGGTGATGATACCCCTGACCCCCGCAGACCCTCAAATAAATAAGGATGTTTATATATATATAATATATATATATATATTTAAAACAAACGAACAAACGAACAGAGCTGTCTGGGTGCTGGCGATGGAGCGAGCGGGTTAGCGGGAGGCCCGGGCCGGGGGGGACACCGCGGGCGGATTGTCCCTGGGGTGGTCCCGCGGCGTGGCCGGGGGTCCCGGGGGCCGGGGGGGGTGACAGGGCCGGGCCCCCCCCGCCCCGTGAAGCAGGCACACACAAAACTGGAGAGCAAGGCAGGTTCCTGGCTGTCGGGCATCCCCCGGCCGGTCCCCAGGGATGCTCGGTAACGTCCTCGTCCTCCTCCTCCTCCTCCTTCTCCTCAGCGCCTTCCCAAGCAAACCCCCGCCCCCTCCCCTTCTTCTGGAGGCCCCCGAAGCGCTGTGTGTCCCCCCCCCGAGTCCAGTGCGGCGGCCGGGGGGACGGCGGGGGGACCGGGGCTCATCCCCCCCAACCCCGAGCACACAGAGAACAGCCGGGTTGGAGATGAGAGGTGCTGGGGCGGGGGGCGGTGGGGAGGGGGCCGGGACCCCCCCTCTGCACACAGGGGGGCCAGCACCCCGTTTCCTGGCCGGGGCGGCCCGGGGGAGCCGCGGCTGGTCACGCTCTCCAGAGGAGGAGGTGGTTGGTGCTGTCGTCCCGGCCCACGGTCTCGCTGCTGCTGGTCAGCCGGAAATCCTCGTAGCCGTCCCCGCCGCTGATCACCAACATCTTGGGCTTGGACAGCGCCAGGCCGGGGGCACGCGGCCGGGACGGGTCTCTTTTCTCGGCCTCGCTCGGCTTCTCGGCCCCTGCCGAGTGCAGAACCCCAAACGTGGTCACATGTGTACCTGCAACTCTGCTGGTCCCCGACAGCACCCCCTGCATCACCTCACCTGCAGCACCTCCCCTGCATCACCTCACCTGCATCACCTCCCCTGCATCACCTCCCCTGCAGGACCTCCCCTGCAGCACCCCCCTGCAGCACCCACCTGCAGTAACCTCCTGCAGCACCT